TTGTGCCACAGACTTTTATAAATCTCATTCAACAGCTATATGCTATATGATGCTACATGCCAAGTTATCCACAATTGAAGACTAAGTGACGCCTTTGAAGTGAAGACAGAGGAAAGAGTTAGACTAAGCCGCCTACTATCATCGATGATCTGTCTGATTGTGGTCTACTCGACTGTATCGTGCAGCAAACCGTGAGGAGCGAGAAGATAAGCATACGCTGGCTGGACCGATGAGAAAAGCCTAGAATATTTGGATTTCGCAGATGATTTATGTCTAATGTCGCAAAAAGTTGAAGGTCAACTGCACTCAGCAATGAGCGTCAACAAGATCCGGAATTTCAACACCAATATAAGTAAAGTCAGTGTTTCTATATGATGGTTCAGAAACTCGGCGTGTCATGGAAAGCACTTCCAACAAACCACAAACACTCATCACATCAACAGCTGCCATCTACGCTCACTAGATACTCACACCAAAGATCAGGTGGATGGCCAGAATAGGAAGGATAAGCAACAAGGAACTCTGACTGGCTGTCATCGAGAGAACCAACCAAGAACCCATCACTCAACAAATATGCAGGAGATGAAAGTGGAGATGGATTGAATCGGGCATACAGTGAGAAGATGGATTTTGGACATCAGTTGCTAGGCCATGCCAGGCTGTCGAATGGAATGCAAAAAGGAGACGAGTAGTTGGTCGTCGGTGCAGAGGGTGATATGGAGGAGATGATGTGGGGGATAAATGAAAGTTTGTGAGCAGTCTTGGAGCGAGGTTGAGATGAGTGTAGAGAAGAGGATGAAATGGAGACGTGCTACTGAAGTCGTGTGTTACACCAGGAACTCAAGAGAAAAATATTTAAAAAAATAGTTTCAAACCACCCAAGAACATTTAAAATAACCGTTGTGACGTTTTGACATCTCTAGCTAAGGTGAACCTAAAATATAGATGTGCCCACGTATGCTCAAACTTTTGAAATTACTGTAGTTGACTCAAATATCCATTTCATATAGTCAACTTACTTTCATAGGAATGCTTTACAAACAAAAAGGAAAGGGATAAACTGTCAAATAATTGTACTTCAGATTAAATTCCTTCACGGAAGTTTATTTTACGCTAGACAGAGAATTTTTATTTGCAGAAAAAGAGATAAAATTGTATTGTTAGAGAGGAGGTAAAGACAGATTATTCGTCAATTTTTTCAATGTGAAATATGCACTAAATATTCATTTTTAACCCAGGTACTTTTATTACTTTCAATTCATCGCTTAGATGGTTTGAAGACATGTTTTTCAAGGAGACGGCAACTTAGCGGTTTCCGCGCACCTGCCAAAACTGCCAGCTAATCAGTTCAACTCAAAACCTTAATTCGGTTAGCAAATAATAATAATAACGGTTTTATTCTGAAAGCTATTCCGGGAATACTCTACAGAATTTTCAGCACATCATATAGCATCAGTTGGATAGAGACAGTGTACATGCATACATAGCAAAATGAAATAAGTAGGAATTACATGAAGAAAAGATAAAAATATATTTGCTTTAGCTATAACCTTCTTCAAAATGCACAGCCAATTTAGTTAGGCAATCATATTGGCAATTAGATTCGTAATATGTAAAAAGTAACACGCACATCTTCAGTTAGTTTGGTTTTGTAAACAGAAATTGATAAGTTAGTTCACTTCGTATGCTTTCTTCGTCACACAGAAGACTAGCTAAATGCGGTATTGTAGAGTTTTTATATTTTATAGTAAGTGCATAGAGTCTTATGTACTTGCTCCTCGTCTTTCTAGATGACCGACACGTAGAGAGCTTTGAGTGAAGAGGATACTGGTCATCTGATAAAATAACTCCTGCCAGATGTTTACATGAGTTATTATGTTTGTCTACAACAGTTCTAACTATAAGGTTAAAGGGTAAACTACTAGTTCTACTGATAATCTTCAAAGATCTACGCAACATATATCAAGGTCTTTTTTTAACAACCAAGGAAAAAAATTAAGGGGAGCAATAGCGGAGGACAGGCAAGATGCAGGAATTTATAAAACATAAGAGAAGAGGCTGATTAATAGCAGATACTCTCAGCTTTCTAATATAGAAAGTTAGGCGGAAATTAGAGAGATATGGGAAGACCAGAAAAAGCCCGAAGAAAAACACCAAGAAAAATTACATTTGTAACATTTTTAATGCACAACTATCAATAGAATAGAAATCATGAAAACTAAGCGGTTTATATAAGTTATGTTCACGTCTAAAACTAAAGATTATGGTTTAAAATTTTGAAGAATTAAGCATAAGACCATTCTCGAAAGACCAGCGTCTAACAGCACATAGGAACAATCTGCTGAAGAGTACATAGGTATGGAAACTGTTAGGTCACCAACATATTTATTGAAATTGACACCAGCTGAAGATGGTAGGTCATGCAGAAAGAATGAGAAAATATAGGGAAAACATGGCTGCTTGGTCAACTCCAACCACAGTAAGCAATGAGGTGGGGCGCTTCCCTTTGTGAACAGTATGTTGCCTCCTACCAGAGAAATAGGAATGCAGCCAGCTGACTACCCAGGACTCAGAATTTGTCCCGGTTAGATTGTCAAGCAACAGAGGTATTGGGACAGAATTAACTGCCAAAGTATGGTCTAAAAAGGCAAACCTGATACACCTGGCATTTTTATCAAGACTATAAGTAATATCGTGATATAAGAGGGTGGTGGCATCCAAAGTGCTTCTTCTGCTTTTATATACAAATTGATTAGATTCTACAAAAGCGTTCAGTAGGGGCTCTTTATATACCTCTGTGTAACTGTGTTCATTCTAAAAATGCCTTGGTGAGATAAGTGGTACTGACAGAGCACTAAACATCTCATTACTTGAAGGATAACACACAGTCACCAAACATTAAGTAACTGTCAACTATCAAGATGGAGTTTCGCCTTTTTAAAACCTTCGATTTTTGGACAATTGATGTTCAAAAACCAACATAATGAAGAAAGTAAGCAGGGTCAAGACAAAACAGAAAGAACTGTTCAGAGGTTGAAGACGAACACTTACTTCAATTCAAGCAACAGACATTTTAGTTTCTTCAATTGCTGGAACCAGCGTCACACTAAGTCTACCCTAAAACATAAATATATTAAACTGAATTACCACTGATGGTACACTGTTGTTTCCAAAGTGATGATAAATTTGAAAAAGCATGCTGGTAGTGTAATGAAAATATCTTTGTTTTCATTTCTCGAAGGGGGTCCATTTAAAACATTGGTCTACTTAAAATGAATAAGGTGACCAACAAAAAACAGCAAATTATAGTTTGGTACTGTGCAATTATCAACATGATTCTTTAAAGAGTTCATCTAAATGAAGAAATTTTAGGGGCGGTTTATGTTTCAAACTCCCACTCAATTATAGAAATAGTACTATGAACGTGGAATTTTAATCGACGATCCCAAACTTACTGGTTAAGAATGTCGCAGAAACTAACCTCTATGCTTCTTAATTTGTGAAGAAGAAGAATTATTTCAGCGAAAAGTCTCTTTTTGGCAACTTCATTCTCAAAGCTGTACAATCTCAAATTGATACATCTTTCTAGTGTAAGGAGTTGATAGCCAAAAAACGGTTTTTCAAGCATGGCAACACAAATAGTTTTAATAAATGAGTTGTCTTTTAAATTAAAAAAAGCCAAAGACTGATGAGTAGAGAATATTAATCAACATAAGTTTGAACAACGAGTTTCGAAAATAAATTGTTATTAGGTAGAACATAACAACAAGAACGGGTTGCAAATTACTTAGGAAGTGAATACTGTGGAAACCGAAAGATGACAAGATAAAAAAGGAGGAGGGGGGTAGAGGAGACTAAAAACTAAGACCATGAAAGGATAAGAGGTTGAACAATCTTCTTTTGTGTACACAGTTAAGGCTTAGATGGCAAAAGCTTCTGTGATACAGAGAGTACAAAGACATACAGCCTTTGGAAAGTTTCTTCTCACTTTATAGATGACTTTTAACGAGGAGGTTTCTGAGATAGGATGATTCATGTCCACGATGTGTTTAATTATAGCGCTCCTTATCTCACCATTGTTACCTCCTTGGAACCAAGCAGGATTGTGCTCTTCAAACCTTTTGGATAACAGTCGCACCGTACGATTTATATACCTGGCAACGTAAATGCAAGTGAATTATTAGGTACACGTAGGAGTGATCAGATGTGAAAGTTTCTCCTCTGAGTTGTTAGAAATCGTTGGATTACAAGAGAATGCTAGTCTCAGCGTCGATGCAAAGAATGTTTTCCCTAGAGCGTTTGATATCCTGCTGTTTAATATCAGCTTCAGTCACCTTTGAAGTTGAAGTTCATTCAGACTATCTTTTTCGGTACGGCGGTAAGGTTCTCCTTGCTAGGTTTAGGTTTGATATGTTTGCCCATGAAGCGTGGTGGGAATTTGTCTTCAATCAGGATGTGCTTTAGAAAGGAAATTTCCTCTTCTAACGCATTCAGACTGCAGATTCGTTTGATGCGAATGGCAAGAGATGTGATCAGATTTCGCTTACGACTTATAGGGACCCAGCTATTCTTAATTTTAGCTGACATGTTTGAGAAAACCTTAGGTTGAACATGGTCACTGGTCAATTGGATTGTAAGTAATGAAGTATCTTCAATCTTGTTTCATTTTCCTCTTCCAACACCCTGACCGATCTCATACCCTAATTTTAACCTAGAAAAAGGACAAAGTGGCTGATATCTTATGAGGTTGTCTGTAAGACTGAAGAAATCTCATATTATAGTGCAAATAAAAATATTTGAGTGCACAGAAGTATTCTTGTCAACACACAGATGCTTGATATTCAGTGCTAACCAGACGCAACTCTAATTATAGTCAACACAAGACAAAGAAATACTTAAAACAAACAGAAAACTAGGTTCATTACAAATGGAAACTTAAAAGCTATGAAAAGAATAAACAATGCATTGACATGAGGAAGCAGTTTTATTGGCTAGGAAAATTAATTATGACAAATATTTAAAGCCTTTTTCAAATGATTTGACGTTTTCATATTTTTATGACCTACGGAAAGAAAAACAGCGGGTTAGTTGAATTCGATATTTTGCAAAGCATTTCTTGACATAAAATGATAATAATTCATGCATGGTGTTAGAATATTTCCAGTGTTCGTCAAAACCCGTTTATAAGCATCATCTTTTCAACTACAGGCAGCGGCGGCACAGATGATGTCAAAACCAGGATCGGAAAGAGAGTAAGACAGGTTTTCAATAATTTGAAATCAGTATGGAGATATACTGCACTCAGCGTTGAGCGTCAACAAGATCCGGAATTTCAACACCAATATAAGTAAAGTCAGTGTTTCTATATGATGGTTCAGAAACTCGGCGTGTCATGGAAAGCACTTCCAACAAACCACAAACACTCATCACATCAACAGCTGCCATCTACGCTCACTAGATACTCACACCAAAGATCAGGTGGATGGCCAGAATAGGAAGGATAAGCAACAAGGAACTCTGACTGGCTGTCATCGAGAGAACCAACCAAGAACCCATCACTCAACAAATATGCAGGAGATGAAAGTGGAGATGGATTGAATCGGGCATACAGTGAGAAGATGGATTTTGGACATCAGTTGCTAGGCCATGCCAGGCTGTCGAATGGAATGCAAAAAGGAGACGAGTAGTTGGTCGTCGGTGCAGAGGGTGATATGGAGGAGATGATGTGGGGGATAAATGAAAGTTTGTGGATAGTCTTGGAGCGAGGTTGAGATGAGTGTAGAGAAGAGGATGAAATGGAGACGTGCTACTGAAGCCGTGTGTTTCACCAGGAACCAAAGGGAGAAAGAAATAACAAAAAATAATAATATGCTTGTAGTGGTATTCAAATAATGATTACCTCAAACGTTTACTGGCACATTGTACTTGAGCAAAATGATTTGAATAGCCAGATCAGAGTTAAAAAGATGGTGTCTTTCCGTCAGCTTTTTACTGCTTTTAATAACTGGTAGTCACTACGTTTGAATTTAGATAAACTCTTCGTTTGGACCTCATCGACTTGTGCTTACTGATGAAACTTTTTCAACTTTGCAATTTTAGCATTTCCAAGAGTTCAGCTTTATTTTTACTGTTGCAGGCAATTCTCTAGTAGGAACAATAACCTAAGTGATTGATTTCCTAAATGAAATTGGGAGGTACCGTCAAAGTACCTTCATTAGCATCCACGATAAATATTTTCCCTAGTGACTAGGTAAAACTGGAAGCAAAACAAATCGAAATACTTTACAACTAACCTTCTATTAAATGCACCTATGCAGGCAATATGAGGGGCGGATTTTCACTATGAACCTGTTTTGGAGTAGGTATACTTTGTGTAGTTTGTGTAATGTGACTTGAACAGAAGCTAAATGCCTAGGGCAAGAATTAAAAGTATGTTTGAATAAAATCGTATGAAAGACAAAAATAAAATTTTACGCAATAATGAAACTTAACGATGAAGTCATCACAATTATTCCTGTTTCAAATGTTTTATATCGATAGATTTTTTCATCTTTTCAATATGAAAGCCGAGATCATTTTGTAATAAGGAGTTTTCATTGAAATTATTTAAATAGGGATAATAAAGAGGATACAAATCACGCTAACTCGTTTGTAACAGAATGCTGATGTTGAAACACGAATAACATTTCAAAATAGATTATAAGAAAGAAGACGGTTGAATACGTTTTCTGTCCGATGAATAAAATGTTGGGTATTTCATGATTTATTCATCTCCCTACTGTTTCTTCACGTTAAGTATCCAAATCCTCGAGTCTTGTTCCACTTAAATAGCGGAAACCTGGTAAATTTCGTTGTTCACCATTTATTTTCTAACATTTATATATATATATATATATATATATATCAAAGAGATATCTTTGTTGAAACTATAACTGCTGTTGATGACCTTTTGGTACTAGCATATATCATTCAGATGAACAGAACTATATGGTATGATCAACACCTGGTGGAACGAAAACCAAATCCTGATGTCATATTCAGTGAGCTTAAAACGTTCAACTTACTTCACATACTTTCCTTGAATCGTTTGTTTCGAGTAACTCAGAAATTGTGTACAACAACTCTGCTGCTTTTTTTTCACACTACACGTTAAAATGCAAAATAATCATATATATTTTCATCATTATTTAATTTAGAAATTAGGGATGTATCATTTTATACTTGAACAAAACTAAAAGATAGGCAGATATCGAATTCCCGTTGGTGAAATGGCAACGATAGAATTTACTGTTAACTTATCAAAACGTAATTTAATCATTCTAACGCTCTTACTTCAAAATAGCTTCCCAACTTGAGTCTTGCATATCAGCATGATCACTATTCAAAGTGCAAAAGTCTCAGCATTGTAATTCTGAGATTTTCGTTCCACCACTTAGGAATAAAGTCTGACGTTCATCTGAACTTTTGAGACAAAAACACAATGAGCAGCTATGTAAAACAATGAATAATCAGCTTGCAAAACAGACCTGGGTATTCCATTTGATATGATGATAAGTCGTGACCGGTGGACAACCGAAGATCGACGTAAAGACAACTACTCAGCGATAGCATTGGATGAAGGTCACATCTTTTGTAAATTCATAGAAGTAGAAAAATTTGGGTTATTGGATTCAAACCCAATGGCTCAGTAATAATATGGTAATCACGAAATCTAAAGTTCCTGGTTTTGATCCGTGACGAGGTCATGGAAGCATACTACTGAGTTGTCGTATACTGGGACAAAACAGTCGTCCGGTACTCTTTCAATGACATTGGTTCCTCAGCTGATGTCAAGTCATGATGAAAAGCTATTTGAAATCTTGATATTCTTCATATAGAAGCAGATGAAATTCTCAAAGGTAGTCTCAATGAAATCCTAAAAGTTAGTATTGTTTTATTACTTGCCCTTTGTGTTCCTAATGGGTCATAAGACTTCAGTTGCACATCGCTATTTTACTCTCTTCTCTGCAGTCATCTGAACCTGGCTCCACGACCAACCAGAAGCTTACATTTCTTCCTCACGTCATCCCCATGTCACCTTCGGAAGCTCAACTCGTCGTTTCCCATGCGGGTTCCACTCGAATGCTTGACCTGGTGCGCGATGTCCACAAACCGTCTTCTCAGTGTACGTTCAATGCATCTACACTTTAATCCTCTGCATATTCGTTGTCCGATAGGTTCTTCGTTGGTTCGTTGCCAGTCAGTCAGAGTTCCTTGTTGTTTATTCTTTCTTGTCATCTGATCTTCAGTGTCATTATTGAGTGAACTAAGGTGGCAGCTGTTCATGCATGATGTCTACAGTTTGTTTGAACTGCTTTTCCTAACGCGACAAGTCTCCGAATCATATAGAAGAACTAAATTCGCTGACTGCGTTGAAATTACGGATCTTATTCACACTTTATGCTGAGTCCAGTGCATTGCAGTGTAGTAGATCTCCATACTGATTTCAGACAAATCAGGGAAGACCTGTCTTGCTGTCTTTCCGATCCTGGCTTTGACATCCTCATCTGTGCCTGTGCCGCCTATAGTGGAAACGATGCTGTCTAGTTAGGTGAAAGAGACAACTTCTTTTGGATTTCTTCCGTTGATTGTGACCGGTGTATGTTGCTACTGGTTGGGTATCTTCATATCCTAAAAGTGATTATCCATGAAATCAGTCCTCAAAAAATTAGTTAAGCCTATAAACTTTTTTGAAGCAACGTCAACAGACAGTTAAAGATGGAGTGAACACATCTCATGTGTTCAAAATCTCTGTACACAGTAACCCATCAGTGTTCAATGCAAGTAAAATGTGATAGCTACATGGTAAAATCCATTTTTCAACTCTATTCATCAATGTTTATTAAGAAGCAAATATGAGTGACAAAGTTCACGACTTAATCACTCAACATAGAGGAAAGTAAAATCGTTTCTTTTAATCAGAGCATAAAAAAGAAAATAATGCAAAGTCATCGTGGTATAAGAGAATAATTATAGATCAAGGTGATAGAAAATCTGATAAATGAGAGGACAACATTAGTAAAAAAATCAAAAGGATAATTTGTTTAATGTTAGCTAGTAGTACAGTTCAAGATACGTGTTTCGTTCGATTTAGGATTCATCAGAATATGACAAAAATTATGAATAAAATACAGTAAGTTAAAATTCAAATAAAACGAAGAGAATATGAATATTGTGATATGAGGCAATATATAGTGAGGCAAAAATAATAATTTTTTAGGCTCCTTCTCAATGTCAGATAAATATATATTTCTAAGAAAACTGATATTAAATAATCAGATATTTCAACTGTTTACTGAACAAATATTTATCTGTTTATTAAATAGATGTCCCGTGAAATAAAAATATGTAAATTTCTTATTTTCACTTACATTTTTCAAAAACTGACCAGACCATATGCACAACTTATTACTTATCAACTTGTAAACATCTTCAAACTCCTTAGTTTCCACTAATACTCCTATGATATCTAGATATTTAATACAATCTTCACAGTCTATAATATTTGTATTAATGGTTAAGAAAATATTACTTGGATTGAATAGTTTATTGAATAGCATTGTTCTATAACTTTCCCAATCATTATCAACCTATGAAATAAAAAGTAGATCATAAGTTACTTTTTTAATTCAACTATTTATTACAAATTACTTCTCAATCCTGAGTAATCAATTTTGCAGAAAAAACAGTAATATTCTTAGTATAATCTATAGTACTGAAATTATTCAAAATTCATGTAATATATTGACTGACTCAGTCTGTATTCCTTCTTCTAGTAAATAACATGTAATTTACAAGGAACATGATAATTTCCAGTTACACTAGACTACTTCATATATACAGATGAAACTAAGAATTTCGCCATATCATAATTACTGAGCATTATCAAAGCTTATTAAGGCTTAGTTCATTACTTCGTTTCACTTGCTTTACTTATTCAAAGACAGTAATCTACAAATATTCTATTTCACCAAAGACCTTGGAGACATGAATTCTAGAAAGACAAGAATAGCTACATGAAAGCAATTCTTTTTCAAATAAATCTTCATTGCTACTGTTTTTAAGGTGAGTAATAAATTAGATATGCTTACAGATTATTTTTAACCAAATAGACAAGTGAGAGGAATCTTAGTGAAATAATTAGCTGAAAATATAACTTTTGTCCACAGCTTTTGAAGTATGTCCAACTGAATATATTCTAAAGGACACTACCTGTCAACAAATACCAAAGACCATTTGAAAAGCTTAGAAAGTTGGCCAACTAGCTAAAGAAACAGATACAAAATACAAAATAATCGGCTCCCGTGAAGAATAACTTACTTTACTACTATTATTCATGCTCTGTAGGTAAAATCAGAATCTGTTACTAGAGAACTAGGAAAACTTAAAAGTGTCATCTCTTGTCCTACTTACTACATCTTCTTTCAGTAATCGTTTATTTCCAAGTCATTAAACACAGGTATTGCTTCTAAGAAAGAAAACCACCAGCAAAAACGAAGTATCCAACACATCATCCATTACATTACATAAAAAACGCCATGTATCATCCTGAAGCATCCTGGAGAAGTTAATCTATGCCCTAAAAGAGTGCACTATAATCTTCTTTATGATCCATAAACACCATTTCATGCTCATCGTTTTGATTCTATCCAAACCTCATCGTGTTCATCATAGATTAGTAATTACAACTTTTAAATCTTGAATATATTTCTTCAGGAGTGTATGCTGTCTATCAATAATAGATGATAAACAGTGATAAAAATAAGAAGTATTGCAAAGATCGAGTGCTTTTTATCCTTAACAAACTAACTTACATGACATGATAGGTGACTGATTGCAGTTTGAATATGTTCATTCTTCAAAAAGTTGAGTACCGTTTCCACCTGTTCTTCACATTTGTCAACCGACTAAGAATAAAAAACAGAACACATTAACAACCAACTTCGTGTTAAATGATCCAGCAAGGTTACTCAGGAGATTTCAAACTAGAGAAGTCAGGTAACGGTAAGATAAGTCAATTTAAGTTTGCGTGGCCTGTGGAGATTATTATTATTTTCCCTTGGAACATATGGCTTCAGTAGCATGCCTCCATTCCACTCTCTTCTCTGCAGTCATCTCAACCTCGCTCCAAGACTATCCACAAACTTTCATTTATCCCCCACATCATCTCCTCCATATCACCCTCTGCACCGTCGCCCAACTAGTCGTCTCCCTTTTGCATTCCATTCGACAGCCTGGCATGGCCTAGCAACTGATGTCCAAAATCCATCTTCTCACTGTATGCCAAATTCAATCCATCTCCACTTTCATCTCCTGCATACTTGTTGATTGATGAGTTCTTGGTTGGTTCTCTCGTTGACAGCCAGTCAGAGTTCCTTGTTGCTTATTCTTACTATTCTGGCCATCCATCTGATCTTTGGTGTGAGTATCTAGTGAGCGTAGATGGCAGCTGTTGATGTGATGAGTGTTTGTAATTTGTTGAAAGTGCTTGGCCTGTTAAGATAAATTTCACTGAATATTAAAGAAAATGCTTGAATTTTTGGATGTGCCAGGTAATCTTATACGTAGATGTAGTTGGTGCTATGAAACATGATTCACGTTTTAAAAGTAGGCAAGCGTATTTTACTGACTAATTGCAGTATGAAATTAAAATAAATCCTGTAGAGTAGTCATTATAGTGGTTGTTTATGAAAACTCCGATGCAAAGAATCTAACATTAAGGTGACGTGAGTTGTCAGTTATTTCTACATTTACTTGTTTCAGGTAAGTGGATTTCAAGTGTACAACTTAGAAGTATAGTAAGAAACTTCGATAAGTAAAAGAATCCATATAGACTTCTGTAAAAACGAACTAATATAAAATCCAAATTTACTTTTAGAAAAATGAAAGTGAATCCACACTAATAGGTTAGGCCCACATTCTTCATAAGCTTATCATTCTTCAGAATTCTTAGATAAACCTTGAAATAGTGGAGAATATTTGTAGCTCAGCTGGATGGCCTTGGTGGTATTGTGTTCTGTGAGCGAACCCATGCTTGGTTATTGCCTTGATGGTTAGATATCACAGTTAAGCAGTCACCACTGTAGATTCTAAAGCTTTGTCTAGTACACAGCCTCAAGGTTTAGGAAGATCTGCTTTTAGAAGAAATTAATGTTATGCTAGTAACAGTCATCGATTGGAAATGATACAATTTACAGTATCATCTCCTTAGCAAGTACAGCATGATGTTTAAGTGATTAAGATCATATTTAACCTAAGTATTTATTGCTACACGTAATACACTACCGACTAACATGAATTACAACTTGGTTGTCTGAAATGAATCAGTTTGAGTACACTGATGATGAGCTCAGCCTCAAACGAGCGAAACTGCCGTTTGGAGTTCAGATCACTTCGGTCTTGTCAGCAAGCACTACTGATCGGTGTGTGTTCAAGAACTACTCATATCGGTTAGTAATGTACTACGTTCAGGATCACGCTCGCAATCTTGACATCAATCATGAAGTCGTTCGAGTAGATCACATTACATGATGTTAATATGTTGGTTTCTGTAGGAAAACACGGTGAGTTTCTGCACAATGAACTGTGCATTTTTATAAACATTTAGTTTGATTCTAAGGTTAGTATTATCATTTTCACCTGGTTACTTAATAATCTTTTTATTTTTTGCCTATGCTTTCATATTTCTCCGCGACTGCAGCTTATTTTTCAATTTTAACGAAGGCTTTTCTCAGTGATTTCCACCATAATGATTAATGACATTAAAAATCCCTGTTCAAGAGATGCAGTAACCGACCAACATAAATGTATTCATAAATAACTAGTTGATAGTATAAAGCCGAACTTTTTTGAACGCCTATATTTCACTGTAAAAGTACGGTACATGTTTACCACGCACATGTTCCTTATAAATACTAATCAAAATCTCATTTTTGAACTATATTACCATTTGAAATGTTCTGAAAAGAGGCTGCGTGTTTACAGGTTAAACAATGTTATTATCATTGACTAAATTTGATACGTTTCTGTTTCTAAATAGTTGATCTCGTGTTCGTTTTCATGAAACTTTACTAACTGAGTATACAAAAATGAATTAGAAATGGTTAACAACTTACTTGAGTCCCAGTTACGGCGACTAAAACGGAGATTAGTTGATTTCGGAAAAAGATATTTATATTCTACCTACCTATAAGCATCAACAGAGTATACAAACAAACTAAGCTCATGATGGGGACTTTCTCTGCAGACCAACGCAACAAACGTTCTTTTTATACATTTCAGGTATGCATTAAAACTGATAGTAAGTTCATTCATTCATGTAGTACTTCTAAAAAAACCATTTAGTTATCTAATCTTTTGGGTATCAGATATCTGTTTGTTTTATAAGTGGACATGAAACTCTAGATATTTGTCTGGCTAACTACTTTGTTGTTACTATTTAATTTTACTTATCAAGCATTAGTTTAGGTGGAAACATGATACTTCTACTAAAATCAACTAGTTTGTAAACAATTGGGGGACTGTTGACTGTTTTGACTTCTTTTACTGCTATGATATTGAATGTTTCAACTTCATACAGTTTCAAAAGTTGTGAACACAAGTCACATTATAGTTGGTGAGCACAGTCTGAGTTTTTCAGGAGAATTTGACTTTTATCTCCTTCGAGGATAAGATATTCAGGAAAGAGATTCTTTTCGACGAATCTGTTTTCAAGTTGTACGATCGTATATATATATATGACATTTAAAAAATTATATCCCATAAGGAAAAATAAGCACTATATGATGATGATGACATTAATAATAATAATAATACGGATGATGCCATAGGCATTTGTGATTATGATGACGATTGAAATATGAATGGTAACAAGGTAGGTTGCGTAACACATGGAATGGTTCATAGAAAGTATGTAACTTAGATGGGGTGAAAAAACAGATGAAAGTGGTAAATCAATTAAGTATTCTGCAATAGGGTTAGACATGTTGGTGAAAATGAAATCATTGTTTTCTAAAAAGATTAAGACAATTAACTGAAATAACACCGAAGATTTATCGAAGTGAAGGTAATTATAATAACAATAATAGTGATAAAGGAAGGATACAAAGGTTAAATTAACAAAGGTGAGGAAGCTAATGGGGGTGAGGAAATGTTATGGCCATGATAAAAATAATGACTGCACATGCTACTTTTCAACACACAGATCAGGTTTTAGTTCATGAATAGCTAAAGACTTAGCTGTTTTAAGGAGTTGAAAACGAAGAAAACTTGGCAGGTTTGGGTGAATTTGACAAGTAATTTTAAAGTCATTGTCATGGTTTGTTGAATGGTGGAAACCAATCAAATAGAACTTCTAACAGACTTGCTTTCACCTTTATAAAATCAAGCAGGAATATGTTGTTGAATACGTGTAGAAATTATTCTCTGGCTACGGCATATGTACCTTGCTTCACAAAAACAAGTGAACTGGTTGATCCACGCTGAGGCAACCAGACGAGGAAGCTTATCTTTGACACAAAAGGATAATAGTTTACAGCCGGTAAAAGTCAATTGAAGTCTTGCTGTGAAGAAATTCGTATTGATTGATCTCCTTGACAATCTTGTCAGATGTTTACCTTGACGAATGACTGGAAGAGATACTTTGGAGACCTATTATAGATTAGTGACACAGAAAATCTAATGGAGTCATTCAGCTTCTTTTCTGTGATGTTATCCGACAGCAATTTCAATGTTCCTACTCATATGAGCTACTGTGTATTATTTATTAGACAATCTCAAATCTTCCCTACCAAAAACATGAACTGTATCTTTTTGAAGGAAATGTTTTAAGGCAGATTTGTTTAAATGTTGCACGAATTTATAGCATTTCATGATGTTTTAACTCTGTATAATAATAATAATAATAGATACTTTATTCTCATATTAGTAATTTAACATGAGAGAAGCCAGTTTACAGGCATCATCACATTGATATATGTTGGAAAATTAACAAAATTTTACGGGACCTGAATGGTGTGGAAGGGAGGTCATTAAATTAGATTAAAAACATCGGAAGATTACATAAGTCATGAAGTAAACAAGAAAATATCACTTTTCAGCATATACACAGTGTTCGAGTTTGGATCGTTTTCAGTCATACTTTCTTTTTTCACCATTAGTTGTACCAAAATTCCAAATTTCTGTTACAAGCAGCCGACATGTTTGATTCGTCTTGGCGATGCCCCGTTAAGCTATATAAAGGCTTATTTTACCATAAATTTTAATGCTTATAGCTCCATGTACCAGAAGAACCCACACTGACGACGTCGAGAATCCGTAAGTTTCCACATAATCATGTAATCCAAATGTTATCATTCACGGCAATATAGATTTACGCCAGCAGAATTAGATATTGCGATGCAAAGGAACAAACATTTGAAAAAAAACTGTGAATACTCGCTGCCTTCCCACAGTTTATAAATGTAAGACTTAAACAAAAGCAAATTAATTTACTTTCTATCCTCTGTGCATAAAGAGTTTATTTCAGTAAAATATCGACAGTGGGTACTTGATGCCTGCTTATTATGCTGAATACTTTGAGTTTTTGATAAAAAAAACAAGATAATACATAACACATTTCTGGCTATTAGTCACATTTTCGATACCAGTGTTTAGTCCTAGTTTACTGCTTCTCGATATTTTGGTACTTCATTGTTTGTGGTTAAACTAAAACCAGTAATCAGTAGGATGGCATATAAACATTACCGTCTGTCCTGGAGCAAATCAGGACTTTTGAAAACTAATGACCTTTCAGGTGTCAACCTTGAGAATCATAAATATAAAGTACTGAAATTCGTGATCAACAATCAATAAGACAGTCAATCTAGTATGTAAGTTTCAGCAGAAAGTTAGTTGGGTTCATCAGGAAGAGTAGTAAAGATTGTTCCTTCTACTTTCTGCCTAAACCTATCATTTTATTGAAGATAATTTGAAAATTGATGGAAATTGAAAGGGTTATCCTATAAATTTTCGAAATTAGTTATCTGAATATGTTTGAATCGTTTTTAGAATCCGGAAAGCTACTCTCTTGAATTTACTAGGTACTGGTGACTTTAGCGTAGTAGTTAATGACGGTGTGGCTTGAAATCCTCTTCACTAACAATGTCTGGGAATTTTTTTCACAATATGAAGGCAAAATTTTCTAACAATTCCTTTTATTTAAACTCTTTGTTTAAGGATTATCTTGGTTTCTATACCCCATTGAAAAATGAACAATAATTCATGTACACACATATCTTATTCTCTGACGGAGATTGTATATATTTAAGGCGGTTCATACATCAAGCTTATGAGCGCCATTAGGTAAGGATTTGAAATACAATGCCTTTAATGACTCAAAACGAAGGCAATAAACTTATCACAAGGTATTATTATTGGACTCGGCTGACTAATTAATGCAGAGGTCTGATCAAGGGACTTCGATGAATGATTTGGATCTGGAAACCTTACTAACTGACCTACTTCGACTAGTATTTTGATAGCTCATTAACGTGATCAATATAAAAGTCAGAAAAGTTTGGAAAAAAACTAGTTTTCGTTTAATAGTTTTAAGATACTATAAGGTACGACTTTCACTTTGACTCAAAGATATCCGTGTGAAGATCTCTGAAAATCATTATGTTGTTGCTTGTATTATCCCGTCTTTGAGTGAATCGAATTGATCGGTCTCTATTAACATATGGGCTCCTGAGAGGATGCCTCAATATTACCTGTGTTTCATTTTTAATTAAATGATGGATAGTGGCTAGTAGTGAGGTCAAGGACGCGCGTTTTGTCTTATTTTAGACTCCTCAGCAAAGGTGCCTGCCTTTCCCAGTGAGCGATATTGTTCTCACTAAGACTCGAACCTGGGAACGATCGCTTCAAATACCAGAGTGTTATCCACCAGGCCAGTGAGTCACCATAAGTCACTTCTTGTACGACGGGTATAATTTTTATGTCGTTACTTGTTTGGAATAGATAAAAATGCGAAGTCAGAAACTTACAAACTGAAGGAAATTTCAAAGGATCTAGGGTAACAATGGTTGTCTAAGGAATGATCAAACTACAAATGACTTAGGAATTGCAGGGTCAGGGTTGACATTTCTCACAGCTAAGTGATTTTCCAACTGCACAATTGCTCTGTCAACGAAGTTTTTGTTAGGAACCACTCAGCCAAGACCACAAAGTCTGAACTCTGAAAAAAGTGTCATGAACGAGTGAAACATTCTAATGAAAAAGTTGAGTAGTTAGAAACCACTCACGCCAATCTTTAGATTTCCCAGCCAGAACAGAGTGATACAAATATGGTCTCACAATGTTCTTTCCACCGTGGTTGTAATGCACCCACCTCCATGCAAACTTCTGCATGCTTAAACCAAAGCGTGGTTGTTGTTCAAACGCTTGCTACACAATGAACGGAAATCTTCCCCTGAACGTCTCCAGAAAATCCTAATTGCATTAGAGACCACTGAGTCTAAATCGGTGGATACTATGTCAGATGAAGTGTCTTTTTAGTTTTTGAGGTTCCTGCTCACTAAAAGTAGATGGTTGTCTGAGCACATCTGTTAGAAGCTATCATCGTTATCTGTTCATTTACACGGGATTCCGAAAGTTCCAACCAAGTACTTTTCAATCTGACTAATCCCATTAACCTGTACCTTGAAAATACCTACAACAAAGGCCACATCTGAAGGATTAGGTTTTATTAGGAACTTAGAGTTTTCGGTAGAGCTCATCCTTCGGTCCACTAGATCCGCAGTTAGTGGGTGTGTAAACAAAGATTATAAAGTTAAAACTGTCAGTTCCACTACTCTTTTAGACCCCTCTGTACCGTTCATTAGAACAGTGCAGAAGTAAATGTCAGCTTGAATCAAACTCGATAACAACTTCTTTGAAATAGTACCCTTCTCTGAGAATTGTGATTTTATTTAGTGTAATTTCCAGATTCAATCCAGAAGTTCGTTTAAGGTGTCTTTACGGAAGTAAATAAACTTCTATTAGCAACAGTGGATAAATGAGAACAGTTGTGTGCAGCTAAAAGCCTTGTAATTGTTTAAGTCACAACTACTAGTCATTTACAGTGAAATCATATGTAGCCCGTTATGTAGTTTTGGCTATATTATTTATTTCTCTTCTGACTGAATATATTAGACAAAACAGCCAGAAGTGATGTGCTAGTCATTATGGAAATGTGTCTGCACACCCA